GTTCCGATGAATTGTCTGAATAGTTGTAATCTTATTCCACAATGTTACTCTTTCAGTTAAGTTCCATTTGGGATGTCCCAAACAGCGCTCGACTCGAGAACAATACGAACAAAGCGTACGAATCGCAGAATTTTCTAGTTTGATTCCGAACTAAACATAACCTGAGACTTACGGGTTTGTTCCTCTTCAAGACAAACCCCCATGTAGCAAAAAAACAATGTTCTTTTATTTTTCACGACATTCGTTTTTTCTTGACTCACAACAACTCACATTCACTTACGCCTAAGTTCTTCATAGCTCATCTAGAGCATTTTCGCGTCGTTGATTCAATTTGACGTTGTTTTGCGTCTGGATGACACTTGAGCAGCATCACAGAACTTCTCATAGGTTTCCAGGAATTATAAGAGACTCTCAAGGATGTAATGAGTAGAAAATGGAGAAATTAGTCTCTCGATTTTACAAATAAAATTTAACGAAAATAGGACACAAATGGCTCTACCGAATGTTATTCCTTTTCAGCGGTAATCTCCGATTAATCTGAAGGTTAAGAGCTGAGAAAAGCCCTAAAAACCCCTTGTTCCTTGTTTTGACGCGAGCTCGTATTGTCGCGACATCGATGTAGCTGTCAAAATCAGTCGAGCATCTCTGTTCATTTCGTTTCCACACTTAAATGTTTTTCCTAGCGATCTTTGGCATCTTAAGATTGAGAATTTTTACTAAAATAGATGAGCGTCAACGACTTCTGATCTATAGCTCTTAATTTTTATACTAGGACATTGTAATGGTGTTTGAACATTTAGCATTTCATCAATCTGAAGATTTCCATCATAGCAAATCGCGGGCGCATTTTCTCTCTTTCGGATTTTTGAGAGCAAAAAGGCCTTTGTTCGGATTCTCATAAAGGAACAGAAAAATAATTTTTAAAATTCATAAATTTGGGCCTTTCATCTAGAATCCATATGTTCTACACAGCGATCCTTGGCACCTTAAGATTGAGAATTTTCACAAAAATACGTAATTATCAACGACTTTTGATCTATTAGCCTTAACCCTTGCACTAGGATATAGTGATGGTGTTTAAACATTTAGCATTTCATCAGTCTCAAAATTTGCATCACAGCAAATAGCAGGCGCATTATCTCTCTTTCGGATTTTTGAGAGCAAAAGGGCCTTTGTTTGAAGCATAAAGAGCATTTTTCAAATGTCACGAGATTTAGACAAAGAAAATAATTTTTTGGAATACATATTTCCTTTCATATAGAATCTGGCGAAATTGCATGATTCAGCAGTCCCAAGGATACCTAGGTTTCATGAATTTTTCCAATGCAGGCACTTTACTTGGATCTCGAAAATCCATCCTCCTTGTAGGTGACTTTACTTCTCAATAGTTCGAAACTTATAAAGAATTTCTTATGACACTCATGTTTCGTTCCCCTTATCCGCCTCCTAAAAACCAACACTAGCTCTCATGATGTTAGCACTTGGTGTCAAATCTAAACTGTGCAAACAAATCTAACCTCTAAACTTTTGCCGGTATCTTGCAAAAACTGTAGAAGATTGGAAATATGAAAGAAATCTACAGAAAGTGCAAAGGAAAGAAGAACCCATTACTGCCATCATATCTGTCCTTTTCTAACCAGAGCTATGACTAAGCTTTGCCATTGGCTAGACTCGCTCCGCAAATTCAAGTTTGCAGATGTCAAGACATTTGTCCCCAATTACACGCGAATTCAAATTGAGAATGAAAATTCTTATTAGGGAAGGTTGAAAAAGCGCAAAATTTGTCCTCCAATAAAAGTTTGTGACTGCTGACTTCCTGTGTATAATTAGGATTCAACTAGAGAATTTTTTTTATTTCCTTACAAGAAAACTACCTTTATGGATAATGACAGGATGGCAGGACAAGCAGGAAGATCTTTCTCTATCTCACCACTTCAATTTTACTTCGTAGTTCATTAAATCAAGAAAATATGGATAATCTAGCTGAAAAATCAGCACTTCCGCAAAATTTATGAAAGCTGTAAGAAAAATAGCGGTGTGAAGCACCTCAAGCCCTTCTTCCTATAGTTTCCATAAATTTGCCGGAAATGTTGGTTTTTTTGCTGCTGAATCATATTTTACCACATCTCTCAATGTCTCTGGCGAAATTCTTATTGAAGTAGGTCGAAAGGGAAGTCCCAGCATTCCAACCAATTAAAGTTCAGGCTGTGAATTCCCGTGTATAATTAGAATTAAATTGAAAATTCATAGCCTTCCGTTATTTTGCTTGACGCAAGAGAGATATTCCTTGAAAATTTCCCCTCTACTCCACCACCTTATTTAGATTTGTGAGAATATGGATAATTTAGCTGGAAGAAAATCAGCACCTTCGCAAAATTTATGAAAGCTGTAAAAATAGGAGCCCTGTGAAGATTTTCCTCAAGCCCTTTTTCCCATAGTTTCCATGAATTTGGCGGAAATGCCGTTTTTTATTCTGCTGAATCATATTTTACCACCTCTCTCAATGTCCCTGGCGACTGACTCCGCCTCCTGACTCCTCTTTGCTTCAGACACTCCTGTTGCGAAAGCTTTTGCAAGTTGTCTGGTTAGCAATGACTCTAGATTTGCCATTTGTGTAGGCTATAGTACGGTAGTAACCCCCCCCCCTCTTCTAGAAGACGGTAGCGATTTTTTCAGGTGTCACAAGTCGAAATTTCGGTATATTCACGTTTGCTTTGGTTTGGACCAACATTTATTGGTGTAAATAAACGTGTAAAATAAAAAATAAATGTTGGTCCAAAACCGTTTGGTTTTGGACCAACATTTATTTTTGAAATTTATTTTCCGAAATTGAGGCTGTAATGTGTAGCTATTTGGTACATCTTCTCAAAAATTTGGAACTTCTAGTACGTCTAGAACCCCAAAACATTATAGAACGCACATAAAACAGTAAGAATCACACCTCTCGGGATACACTTCCTCTCCCCCCCCCCCCCAACCCCACTCGCGAAATTGCTCTTTTGCAAAAGCACAAACAATGTTTAAGAACTAGCTCTACAATACATTCATGGTGCGGAATCTATAGAAAATGGGGAAACTTTATGTGGGAAAGTTCCCGCTCGCCTTCTTCCCCCCCTTTCCTTACAAACAAAAGTGTTTCCGCTTTTTTATTGAGCTTCGCGGGGCAAAGCTTACTGTAATTTTCACTGCGCAGATTAATCACGTCTGCGTAGACTCGCATGAAAAAAATTACGGTAGTGGATTGCTCGCCCTTATCGTACTCTATCAGAATATTAGTTTGTTTAGTTCAATCAGCTTATTGCCCCTTTAGTTTGATTCTAACCTTCGCATTGGGTCATTGCTTAAAACGCATATGCCCTTGTCACGCATTTTCCATCGGTTTTTTTTTCACCCAACTAATAAAAACTTAGAAATTAACAATAGCTAGATTTTGCCTCTAATGCGCATAACATTCAAGAATAATCTGGCTCTCTACGCTATCGTATAATCCCTGCATTAGACCTTGCAAAATTGAATGGAAAGAGATTTGTAAATATCAAAGGAACTATCAAACTGTCTGATGGCGAGATCGTCGTAAATCCAAGTTTTTTCTTCGTTTTTCCCTTTGTAACAAATACGCTCATTTTATACTGAAATTAGTGACATACATTGCGACCAACGCAGATGATGCGCAAATTTGCGGACAATGTGGCGTCGCAGCACAAATTGTCTGCGTCTCTTCTTTTCGCATTTTCTCTCAGCGATGAGCGTCAGCTTAGACGGTTTGCAGGGTATGCAGAGCTCCATTATGCATCTACTTTGCTACATAAGAGAGGGATGAGGATCACAAGTGTTATTTTTGCCAGCGCTTACGAATCCATTAAATCTCCACTGACTTTTTTCAGAGAAAATAAGGAGATGGAGCCTAGGTGAAGTAGAATTTGATTAGTCATGCTAATATCATTCTAATATAGTTGAAACAGCAGATTTGTGGTTGATAATGTTCTTGACATTATTTTCCCAAAACATTAGCAGCTAATCCCCTTGAGAGAGGATAATCAAAGGGTGACATTCCATAGCGCGACTCTAACAAGGCACTTTATTGTATAGTTCCACCATGAGGTGAGGTGTAATTGTCCTGAAATTCCACACGCCACAATTATTCCCCCATTCATGCTAAGATGTACTTTTGTCAACGAGAACAAAAGCGTAGCATGAAGTGAATTCCACTTTTCATTTCAAAAGCTGTTTGTGAGAGTGCTTTTTGATTTTGAAGGATTCTAGAACTGAATATATCCAGGGCTTTTACCGTAAAAATAATTGCAAATGAAAATTGCTTGATTGTTTTCTTACCCTCGCAAAAAAATTTTTCCTAACGTCTCGCTGAGATATTTTTTGAAAATGGAAATTGACTCGGATTTCTGGAAAAATTCAATCAGGAAAATAACCACGTCCTACCATATGCCTACCGTATTCTAGAGGGTGGCGATCATAGCATAGCAAAATATCCGCCCTATCATGTTGAGTATGAGCCGACGTAAGAATTTCGAAAAAAATGTTTTTCTTAAGTTGGCTAAATCCCGCAAATCTCGCGATTTCCGCGAATTTTTGGGGAAGTGGTCGTATTTCATTGGCATAGCTACTGTTATAAAACTGGGCCCTAAAATTGCTTACAAGTTTTTTCTAAATTTTTTCACAGCCCCATCAAATTTGGATAAGCAAAAGGATATTGGGGGGGGGGGGGAGGGAGTAGAAGGGAACTCGAACAACAACCTGATATAGATACGCTCCTTGACCTTGGAAATTTTTTTGATGACTAAATACAAAAATTAGTGAACAATCAGAAATTATCGCTAAGGATTTGGCACAAGTAACATTATTTTTTCCGAATTTTTAGGCCTCCTTGCATCATTGCGTTTCTGTCAAAACTCTTGTCGTTTTTCGTCCCAAGACATTCTAATCGAATTCGGAACATCAAATTTCTTGAAATCGTTGTTCTGTCCGCAATGTGGAAATTTTGCATTTTTCCAGAGATGCGTACATTGGCCTGTGTTCTTCTCGCTCTTCTCTGCGCACTTTTCGTCTCGGCTCAACTGGAGAAACGAGCTTCAATGGGAGGGTAAGCGGCTACAACGACCGATATCGTGTCGCTTGACAATTATCACAGTAATTACTTTGCGATTAAGTCAAGGAAGGATGTTGACTTGGCGCTACAAACCTCGAGTGTTAAGTCGCACGCATCCTTTATGCGCGTTGTTTAGGCATTGAAGGAAATAGTCTGGAAATGCTAAACATGGGAACGTATTGTCAATTAAATTCGCGGAATTCAAGACATTATTCTCGCAATGAACAGCATTTGCGCGCGAAAAATGGAGATGAAGAGCACATTTTCGAGTTTTGCGCCTCATGACCATTGCCTCCGCGCAAATGTTGTCGGCACCGCAGCGGCACTAAACTGAACAATACCTGCTGGACTAGAGCGCTTGCAAATATAAATAAGATGCGACCGAATTTATATACCTAGTTCATGTGATTGACTCGGCATGATATTTCATTGAGTCAAAGTACATTTTTCAAAACAAAGATACCACTTGAGATTAGGTTAAGTAAATATTGCGTAAGCCACTCAGGTAAAGGGCCCAATTTAAATCGATCAATCAATCTATAGCTGACCATCAGTGCCTTAAGAAGCTAATTTAGTCCATTTGAAAATAATTGCTGACTTGTTTGCGTCACGCGCGCGCGGTTGCGCTGCGGTGCGTTAGATAACTTTAAATGCGTTGACAATATTCGTTCCTGCCTATGATTTTGCTTTTAGTCGATAGACCAATGACATTCAGTCGATAGACCAATGACCCAATTTCTTGGAGATGCGCGGGGGCGGGGGTAAAAGCTTGGAAGAAATTGCTAGAGTTGACCTGATAGAGGAGAACTTTTCACATCCCTAGTCCTACGGCTGCTGTAGTGGCTCTGCGGTAACGGCAAGACTTGCGCGTAAAGAGGCCGTAAAGGCGTATTTATGGGTATTTACGATCTGTGGCCGTTTTTCACGCGTAAGTGCTGTAGAAGCTGCAGGAGCAACATACTAATCCTCTATCCGTCATAAATAGGCTATAAATGCTCTTGGAAGTCAAACGCTAGTTAATTCAAATTCCGATAAATAAAGGGTTTATTGCATAGCTCAGAGCGCTGCAGTATCAACTCTAAAATAAACGTGCTCAGTTGTTTGATCGAAATGTTTCTACCCTTTGTTTCAAGTGGAGTGGCGCTTGGAAGGCGAGGCTTCGTGACCTGATTAAGGCTGGATAATGATCAGAGAGCACGGCGCGCGACAGCGACGCGGAGTGCGTCGCGGGCGCGAGCTGCCTCAATTGGGTTACAAAGCCCCGCCTTCCAGCCGCCAAGCCAGTTGAATCAATGGTTACAAAGAAACAAGAACTTTTTTTCAGTGCTGCATTCGGTGGTATGGATCGTATACCCTTGGAATTCATCCAAAAATACTATCGAATGGGACAAAAGCGAGCAGTGTCTGACTACAATGATGGTAAGATAGTTTCTTTTTACTATTGAAAATCAACAATTTCCATGCAGGATCCTATCAACGTGGCCTCTACAATATCTTCTAAGAGGAATTAGCGTTCGCTAATCATCACGCAGCCGATGTTCGATCTCAAGCAATTCCATCCTCAAATACCGTATACTTACACAAATGCAATTAAGATCTCGGCTTTTGTTTGAAAATGTTGTGTAGTGTATTCAGTGAAAATGAAAGTTTAATATTGTGTATCCTACAGAGAATGAAAATTCAGGATGAGAGTATCGTAGTGATTTGATAGTTCGCGAATCAGCCTACCGTATCCCCACAGTGTTCCATGAATCAGCCCACCATAATCTCAAAGTAACGAATCCCCAGCCCGCCGTAATCCTACAGTAGCCCATACATTGGTCCATTGTAATCCTACAGTATTCCACCCAAATCAATCCATCGTAATTTTAACGCATTTTTCTCATTGACCTATCGTAACCCTACAGTATTCCACAAAATCCACTGTAGTTTACAGTATTTAGTCGTCAGCCTACCGTAATCCTACAGTATCCCCTGTCAAAATGATTGAGTGAAGAATATCAGCTGCGTTTAAATCGCAAACAAATAGAAATTACATTGATATTGCATCTACACTTTTAGTGCTCAATATGTCTGAATATCCAAACAAAATATAAGTTTTATTTTTGACAAGTATAGGAAATTTCTCCTCTTCCCCCCCCCCCCTTCCCAAAATTTATTTCCTCATTCCCAGTGCCACGCGCACCTGTGGTACAAGTGTTTGGAGACGATACGTCAAACAGCTTTATCACCATCCGATCAAACAAAAGTCGGACACGCTCCCGCTCACCGACGAGGGGGAACTCGTCCCTTGTATGGTCTGATATCTTTGAGATAAAGAGAATTAAGTCCTTAAGAAATCAGAACAGGATAAAAAAATTGGGTACTTCAAGTCGAATCTCAGACGCATTTTGATAGAAGATTGATGTTTGGAAGATTTTAAGAGTACTTGATAAAGACAATTTCGTAAGATGAGGACGAAAAAAATTACGAAGGTAAAAAGTAAATAATACGAGACTAGAAAATATCGAGGATATGACAGAACAAAACATTGTGAAATAGAATGAACAATAAATGTACTGAAACTGAAAAGACTGAAAGTTCAGAGTCTGTAAAATCTGAAAAAAAAACAGGAGGTATATATATATGGAAAGGTCTCAGCAATATTGCACTTCCGGAGGATATTTTCCGTAATCGTAAGAAATTGACAACGTCAGAATTCATCATAGACTCCATGAAAAATCTACAAAAGCCAGATTTTATGCTTTAGAAGTGCTTTACAGTAGATGATGATGTCATGTCGTCACTTCACGATAGTTTATTCGCCTTCCGCTGATTTTGACTGGAAATTAGTCATATGAAAAGATTCTGGAAGATGTGAGAAATAAAACTGATAGATTGAGTGGGGATTTTTCCCTCTAATCCGATGAAATCATAGCTTGACGTGGATTTCAGGGACTTCACGTATCCAACATAGTCTAACTATGATAAATTAAGGACAGAACAAAAGACAAAGGATTTTGTGGAGGATTATAGCTTTAGCCATGATGCCTAGGACCGCAATAAATGTTGAAAATTTATAGTCCATTTTGAATGGTGGAAATGTTCCAAATATGAATAATGGATCTCAGAAGCATCATCACTAGCATACCCTTACTTCTGTTTGATGGTTTTGTGAAGTGAATAGAAAAAAGAGATAAAACTTGAATTTTTTTATCATAAAGATATTTCAAAAAATCTGACAGAAGCGATATGAATTTTGCGACGACCGCTGGATAATGGATTAGATGAAACCTTCGGTTTAGATTAGAATCAAAAAATTGTTTAAAGTTCAAACGTAAAAAAGTTTTGTAAAAAAGCTCCACGTCCATTTTTCCGAATTTCCGGGGCGCAAAAAATATTGAGAAGCATCCCAGAAAAATATTCGGAATGCGTGGCTAATGCTTTCTTTTTAATCGAAAAATTTTTTATCTCGTCTTCCCTTTCCTCCCCCCGAACAGAAGCCTTATACCCGTCACTGTCTGATAAAGACGTTTAATAGTCTTTTTGTATTGCGACAGCATTTGCGCATAGAAAATGGCCATGAGGCGCAAATGCTGTCTAGAAAATGCGCCCAATGGCTAATAATTGAGCAGAGTATAGAAACCGCTGGGTTACAATGTTTTTTGCATTTTTTCTTATGGATTTTTGCACGCACACCATACGGATTTACTAAAAAATTTATATGCACAGAATTAGCTGTGCCCTTCGAGAAATTTCTCATGTTCTCGTCCCTTCCGAGTCGAATCGTCGCTGGCGCCGTGGACGTTCGGTGAATGTTTGAGTAATGAGGGAGTACATTCGGGCCTGGGCTCGTTTGTTTGCCGAGCTCCCAACCACCGGTCGAGCTCGGAACCCCCCTCGGAGCACTGACCGTCACCTGTGTGTGTAGTCAACTAATATTGCTATTTTTGTTGGTATTTCCTTGTTTTTCGTAACTTTGGTTGCAAAATTCGTTTGGGGCCTTGCACCAAAATTTTGAGATCCCGTGACCCCTCCAGGATTACGAATCCGTTTGAATTAATGTAATCTAAAAAGAGAAAACCTTATTCTTTCTAAACATTCTTAATGCAAGAATCAACAATCTTGTATCGCAACAATAGAACCTGTTGAAGGCAAACACTCAGATTCGTTTTTCCGACTTTCAATCTTCAAAAATGATAAAGGGCTCAGAAACTTTTATTTATACTTTTCCGCTTCTACAATACACACTTTTAACTAAACCAGATGCTGATATTTCATCTCTACGAAAAGTTGTAACTTCAAAATTTTCATTTCAAGATTTTTGATATTTACTAAACGATTGAAACGCTGCTCTGAGCATTTTCAAATGAAGCTTTTTGGAATTTTGGTACAAAATTCATGTTCTAATTTTAGTTCGTTAAACATAACGACTTCCTCGTCTATTTTTTATTCTACCGCTCTAAAATTTCCTATGGATTCCCACGCAGTAGACTCGCGCAAGTGAGAACGCGCAGCTCTAAAAAGTCAGTTTCCCTCGAAAAGTGCCCATTGAGTAGACAATTAAGAAGAAAAACAAAAAATAGACAAGATAAATAAAAAAACTCGTTCTTGTCACTACAGCCAAACTTTCCCCCACTATTTCGTTCAAATTTCAGTCGTTTCTTGCTGACGCATACGGTTTCACGAACAAAGCGCCCCATGCGCCTTTCACAAAAATAATTAAGCTTGAGTAATGTTTCCGTTTCGATAACAAATTCTAAGCTGACGTTTTACGTTTAGTTGAGTTTTCGTTTCCTGTTCTTGTTTGCCTTATAATTCACAAAATTTGATTATTTAAATTAGCTTGAAATATTTTTGTAGATAAAGACTCAATCGGTCGCATATTAGGTCAAAGCTTCAAAATTAACTGCGCTTTATATACTGAATTACCTTATTCAGAAAGCTGGACAAAAATGTGAACGACGCGGCGCGGCCGCAACGCTGGTGCGTGCGGCACAATTTGCAAAATTGTTTATACCAAGTAGTTAATCTGTAAGCCATTTAAGCCATGTTCGAGAGGTTTGGCAGCGTTGCGGTTGCGCTGCGTCGTTCATCATTTTTGTGCAACTTTGTGAATAGTGAATAAATCAGCATAAAGTGGAGTTAATTTTTTTGATTTCTTCGTTATCCAAAGCTTTGAACTAACCGGAACAACAGATTTAGTCTTTTACACCTTCTCAAACAATATTTATCGTCACTTTTGAATGCTGGTAGTAGCTTCTTCGCAAAATTTTTGGACTGAATTTTTTTTCATTCGCAAAGCTTTTTTTCCACACATGACCCTAACTCGCTGTACGTTATTTCTCATCGAATCAGTCATTTTCTGCACGATTTCTTATTTTAGCAAACATATGCTCAAACCCAGCCTGTTTCGTTTTTGTTCTCAAGAGGTGTGCGTTGATTCTCCGGTTGCTTTTATTGACATAGAGCAAATTCGAACAGTTTTGGAGCAAAGCTTTTGCATTCGAATGTTTCTTGCTTGTTTCTGTGTGCATTGTCTGCATTTGCGACATTTCAAGTACTAACTTCACTCATTGATACATTCCACGCACCTCTGCTCTGTACATATACGGTATACACGATGTTATTCTAGCGTACCCATTTACAGCAAGGGCATCAAACGATGCCTTGGTGGCTGTTCTGCCTCCTATTGGGGGTAGAATCACAGGTACCCAATCAAAACATTGGGCAAAGTACAGGACAGAATGTTGGATCCCAAGCAACTATATTTTCTGGAACAGGAAATAATCCTTATTATGGAGGTTCGTCCTTTTACTGCTATTTGTGGCACACTTTAGCACCATAAAAATTGATCGCTGTGGGACCTTCTTCTCTACCAATCATATTATTAGAGCTTTGAATGGGCGAAACTGATTATGAATCTGTTCGTCACTTTCTGTAATCTTACCGTATTCATGAATCTATGCGTTCACATTGCTCAAACCATAAATATATAGTTTTTGATGGGGGGGGGGGGGAAGCGAAGTATGCCCAGTGACAAACTTTTTTGTCAAACATATTTTGTCCAGTAAATCTGTAAGATTAATGATTTCATAGCAGACGAAAACGGAATTATTGATCGGTTTTGCGATTGGTTGGTACGGTAGGGGTACGGTAAGCCAAATAAGACTTGCAATTGCGTGAGACGCTAAATATCCAGTTTATAAAAGGTGTTGCGATTCCTTTTTTTTCACACAGCAAACTCGCTTTTTCTATGAATGTTTGTCCGATGTGATTCCCAACCCCCCCCCCCTCTCCTCCTCCCCCTCCCCGCTGCCCACCATTTTTTTCTTCGCGTAGCACTAGAGTGTTTTTCAACGGGAAGAGTCACTTAGTGGCCCCAGCGCATCAAAAAAGTCAGAAGCCCACCTTCGCGGAATGTCCTTTGCTCACGCGTCACTCCCCCCCTCCCCCCCCCCCCGGATCCACCCCAGATATCCGATAACGTAACACAATCCATGCGTATTGATCGTACAACGAACAGCAATGTTCTGTTTGCTCACCGTAGCTGAGTCATATAGAGTGCGGTGCGACTGGAGCCAGCTCCAGGTCGGAGAGCTACTGAGCGTGCAGCTTGAGAGCAATTGTAAACATCGGCTTATGGCAATATTGAACACTAGGGAGGGGGGGGGGTAGTAAGAGGGAAAGAACAGCGACCAACAACAGAAATCTAAAGGATTGTAAAAATTCAGGCAGTTCAAGGGAGCTTTACCTCTTAAAAACAGAACAAATCAGTTCAAATTAAGTCAATTCTGTCTCAACCGGGTCAACTTTTCAGTGGCGGTGTAAAATTTCTGGAAAGGGGGAAGGAGACGAGGGGCGGTAGTCTTAAGGTAGGATAAGGTAGACGTCATACAGTTTTTTTTGAGAAGCTCTCTGAATCTTTGCGACTTTGTAATTTCCTTGGATTTTGCAAAAGATTTTGCAAGCCTATTTTAGACTCCAAAAATCCAAAAATATTTCACTTGTAAAAAAAACAATTGCCGGTATTATTTCTACAGAATAAAATCTAATACTTTTATCTACATATTCTTCAGATTTCCTAAAGCAATCGTAATCAGAAGATTCTTCTATTCAATGCTATCAAGCGTTCGCTTTGAGGCAAAAATTTGATTTCCATTCAATTTAATCAAAATGAAATTTATATGATTGAAAAAATTATATATGACTTATGATAAATTTAATCCTGTCTTTGCAGTAAATCTCGTCCCATTTGGTCCAGAAGCGGGTGACCTGAAAGTGAACCCGTCTTTGTTAACCGCTGGTCAAACAATCGACCTGCACATGTTTTTTCCATTCTACGGAGGACTCTATAACTATACCACGGTGGGAATTTACAAAAAAAAACATTTTCTTAGGTTTTTTTCCGCAAAAAAAGACGATTTTAGATCTCCGTCAATGGTTACATAGGCTTTGCTACTGTGCTTGATCAAGGACCAACAATAAATGTTGGCCCTGAAAGTACAGACTGGCCCCGTCAAGAAGATCCAGCTATGATTGCTCCTTACTTATGTAAACAGCAGGTAATCTTCTTATATATAAAGCTGAATGTTTGTTGATTTGCGTGTACGTCTGCACTTAAATTCCAGATACAAATTTTTATTTCTGGATCGATCCGGATCAAACTTTGCACACCTACACTTCGGGGCGGGGAGGGTGTCATAAGCAACTTTTCCTCATTGATTGATATCGATTTTATCGATTAAAGTTTGACGAGGCTGGGAGTTGGCACCCTTGTTTTGAAAAAAAAAAAACAGGGGCTAGAAAAGAAATCTGAGAGGTGGTAGAACATTTTTTTTTTCAGATTCCACAAACTGGAAACCCTGCTCTTCGTGCTGGGGTATTCTATCGCCTAATTTTGCGTCAATCATTATTTGGAAGAGATTCGGGATCAAATATGAATCTGGGTAACTGAATGTCAACTTTTATAGGGAAAATTTAAATTTATGTATTTTTAGTAGGGACCATGCAAGCAAGCAGTTTTTTCGGACAGCCTCCATCAGAGGTAAGCTAAGTCGATTTTGCGCTACAGTATATGGTCAACAATTTGCTTAAAAATATTTTTTTATATATAGGCTTGTCCCGGCACGCCAGAATCATATGCTCGTTGTGACCAACAAAGTGATTTCTTCCTAGATGAAATGATGAGGTGGTTACAAGGTAATTTTTTAAAATCTCTTGTTTACATTCTGCTTCTGTTTATTAAGAATTATTATTGATTTATCATTGTTTACTCAAAATGCACTAAACGTGCGAAAAAAAAACCCAACAAAAGTTTGTGGAAATGTTAGAAAATTTTTGATTACTTTTCGCAAGTTGTTTGTTCTGAATTTTCAAATTTTTGAGGCCTCATTGCAGATTTAGTGATCCTCCCCCTTCCCCCCCCCCCTCCCTCCCCCCCCCTCCTCCCTCTCCCGGCCGACCCGATACCAAAAAATGGCCCTACATTTCCAGAGGGAGTAGCCGGAGCATCGATGTTTCGTGCCGATGCTGCTCTAGTCGTCACCTGGCACAACACAGCTTCAGGCATTGCTGGGCGATCCGACATCGATGCGGGTCAAACCGCAACTTACCAGGTAAGGATCATTTTTACCTCCTATTAGATTTCCTACCCAAAGTCTAACCTAGGCTATATGGCTGACTGACCAACCAGGTCGTTTATCCTATGTTATTTTCAACTATGATCGATTAGGCTTTGATGCTCAAGATTTTCGTGCAAATTCTCGAAGTGGACGTTGTAGGGTAAGCGTGTTAACCCAACTGGTTAACCCCTGGTTAACTTTCTTGTCTATTAGGCTCTATTCAATGGCGGCAATCACACAGGCGTTGTCGATGTTGATCCTACTCAAGCGTACAAGAACACTCCAAAGGTAAGGAAGCCAAATCTAACCTTACCAACATAGCGATAACCTCGGTAACATATTTACCCAGGTACTAGCACAACGTTCCGGTGTTCCACATGTGGTACGAGGTCGCTACATGTTCCGAGTCGATGATGTTGTACGCCCAGCTGGCTGCAGTAACAAAACTGGAGGAACATGTAAGTTTCTTACAATAAAATGAAAGAAATATTTATGAAATATTGATCGATTCAGATCCGATGATGATCTACCCAAACATCGTAAATATGCTTGGTGAAATGACTGTAGATGTGAATGCAATGTGCTTGGATCGTGCAACCCCTTATATTCTTATGATAGAAGAAAGAGAGGTGATGAGCAAAAGTTTCAAATTTTTATATTCTCCCGAATACGCTCATCTTATATATAAAGCTGAATGTCTGTTTGTATGTCTGTCTGTCTGTATGTCTGTCTGTCTGTACGTATGTTCCGAATAGAAAATTCCATTTCTGAACCGATCCGGACTAAACTTGGCACACATACACTACGGGCCCCGGCGGGTGTCATAGGCTACTTTTCGTCATCGATTGATATCGATTTTATCGATTTTTATCGATTTTTTTGCTGAGTTCACCTACGGGGCTGGGAGTTGGCACAGGGGGGTAATCGAGCATGGAGATTCCGAATACAATACTGGTTTTCAGGATTATCGATTACTTTTATCGATTTTATCGATTTTTTTGCAAAGTTTGGGCTACGGGGCTGGGAGTTGGCACAGGGGGGTAATCGAGCATGGGGATTCCGAATACAATATTGGTTTTCGGGATTATCGATTACTTTTATCGATTTTATCGATTTTTTTGCAAAGTTTGAGCTACGGGGCTGGGAGTTGGCACAGGGGGGTAATCGAGCATGCTGATCATCCCCAAGGGGGGTGATCAGCATGCTCGATTACACCCCTGTGCCAAATTCCAGCCCGCTAGCTCAAATTTTCAAAAAATCGATAAAAGTAATGGACGATCTTGAAAACTAATATTGTATTCGGAATCCCCATGCTCGATTACCCCCCTGTGCAAACTCCCAGCCCCGCAGGTCAAACTTTACAAAAAAATCGATAAAATCGATAAAAGTAATGGACGATCCTGAAAACTAATATTGTATTCGGAATCCCCATGCTCGATTACCCCCCTGTGCCAACTCCCAGCCCCGTAGGTGAACTCAGCAAAAAATCGATAAAAATCGGTAAAATCGACATCGATCGATAACGAAAAGTGGACTGTGACACCCGCCGGGGCCCGAAGTGTATGTGTGCCAAGTTTGGTCCGGATACGGCGGAGCCGGGTAAGCCAGCTAGTAGTACATATTCCAAACAAAATGAAAAAATTTTTGTTAAAAATTTTCTTTTCTTTTCTCATGAAAATACTACCAAGAATGATATTCCATTAGAGATGGGAGATTTAATATAATTTCCCAATCAATCCCCACATACTTTGTTCCATACCTTTGGTTTGCTAAAGTGCGAGAACTGGTCCCCAGATGTTTTTCTCTACTTTTTCATTCGAGCAGTATGAACAGAGGAGAACGACATAGCTCACCTCTTACTGATGGTCTGGGAAATTTTTGGAAGCAGCTTACATAACTTAAGGATGTGTTTATGAGTTGTTTATATTTGTAAACATTTGGAACGATTTTTCTAATTTTCAGAATTCCAAAATGGTTTTGTAAAAATCTTTTCAGGAGGCAACATCCAATCTTTTTCAAATGTCATAAAACAAATTTTGAAGCTATACCACATTTTCGGAAGTCGTGGCCAATGGCACACTATATTCCCCCCCCCCTCGCTCCCAAAAATTATTCTCGAACCTCCACTAAATATCTGATCATCGTAACTTTTCCAGGTAGCCACATGTCAGGTCTTGAACTCAGCCATAGCTCGTTGTAGTTTACCGAAAATCTATGATTGGGGTACAAAAACCGTGTATTTCCAACCGCAATCGAAAGGTGCCAATGATGAAAAAGCCTTCGTGGGATATATCTATTTTGGTTAGTCATACATATTTTTGGAAAAAGAAAAAAACCACAAAGTGCAAGGTAAGTGCAAAATTTTTTTCAGTGCCTCCAACCTTGGATCCGCAACGTTTGGATATTGGTAATCTCTATGAGTGGTATAAAAATCCAATGCCCAGCTATGTAAGTCCATAAATTTTTTCAAAGGGCAAAATGTTTTATGATAATCGGTTGTAGCTAATGCCAATCTCTTGGTACCCGCGTAATTTCACTAATCCCGATTTATTCAACAATCTTAATCAAGTCGGGACCCGAATATCCGACGATGCTCTCTATGGTGTGCAGTTAGGACTATATGTGGTTGGCTACAGGGAGTACAAAGATGACGAGGTAATCAAAAAAGTTGAATTTTTGCTTGGAAATAAGTCCCGCCTTTGTAGATCAAAAAATTCCGACCTGAACATCGCACACTGGCTCGTATAGCTACCTACACTAATCGCAATAGTTTTGATTACCGCTGGAGAGCTCAGGAAGAGGTCATCAATCTAAATCAGGTAAAAAAGAAGAATTTTTCTTCTTGGAAATTATTTAGAAGAATATTTTGAGGTCCAACAATGGTATTTGAACGATTGGGAACGTTGGAATACTTTGTATACCTTCCGAGTAGGCTATCTCAAATTGGCACCGATGAGACCAAACGATATGAATGGGACAGAGTTATTAGCCGGGTAAATTCACGATCTTGATATTTTTCAAAAAATTCTCAGTGTTCTGCTAAGCCATCACCGTTTTTGAACGCAAGAACTGGTCCTTTCTCAACTTTATTCTGGTGGTCATTATTTTGCTTTATACCGTTGTTTTGTTCTCAAGGTTTCCTGGTCTCAGTTTTGCATATTTTAATCTGCGTAGAAAACGATTGGGGACTAGTTTTCGCTATTTGGTACTATAATGACATCGCAAGTTCAATGATGTTCCTCGTTGTTTGTTTTACTTGTCCAAGGAGCTCCTCACTCTCTTCTCTTTGAACCTCACATGTTTCAATCAGAGTGGATGTGGGTTGGGGACCAGTTTTCGTTTTTGATTCTGTCTTGATGTAGCATTCTTCTTTGTTGTCCCATCTGTCATGCTCTACACACTCTTCCTCGTCTTAATTTCACATGCATTGATCAGGGAAAACCCTTGGGACCAGTTCTCGCTATTCGATTCTAAATTGCCTGTAATCTACCTCTTTCAGCCTCGTTTCCGCTCCCATTCCTCTTCATTGGTTATGGGCTCCAGAAGACAATCGCTTTGGTACCTCTACATTTTCACAACAAGAACGAGATCAGCGAACAGAGTTTGTAACCCGGAAATCTAAAGAAATGTGCCATGACTGGTAAGTTGTTAGCGGGGATCAGTTCTCGCAAAGAGGCGCTTTTTGTTTTAGGTATGACGAAGATGGCGCGTTGTTCAACTTTATTCGCGATACAGAGACAAACTCAAGTTGCCCATGTGTGGAAACGCAAGCACGTCTGGATCTTGGACGATTTATGCCGCATCCAAGATGTTCACAGGTCCATCTCTTCCACATTTATCCGTGTGAAATTTCTCGTAAATTGTGCATTTACAGACTTTTCGTGATATCACGTGCACGACTATGATCGGTTCCAAAAATTGCTACATGTCCGCACAAAACATCTATGGATCCTATGCCGGCAAAGGAAACACATTTGATAACATGGACACATCGTAGGTGATATTGATTTTTCATGCAGCCGCAACGCATTCATGCACTCGTAACACTTGTGATCGCTGCTCACAAAAGTTTCAATGGACTGTATTTTCAAGGCGATTTATGACGCATTATGGACAAGTCTGCTGCTATGATGAAACTGGATTCCTTATGCAAACTCCATATCAGCCTGTAATCAAGACTCAAAAGGAGTACTTCTACAATCCGGGCTATCCGCTAAGGGCGTATGAATTCGGTACACCACCATATATGGGACAGTTTGAAGTGAGTATCAGAAAAATTTATGTGCCCGTTACCTCTCCGCTTTAGTTAGTCTAGAGTTGCGCGCTCCGACGCCGTGCCAGCTCCGTGCCGCAACCAATGCGCACCTTATTGATTGGTCGACGTTAGGGCACGGCGCTGGAACGACCACCACGGCGCCGACCAGAAAACTCTGGACTCAGCTTCTGTCCCATCTCCCTTCCAAAAAGGCATATTTTAGGTTCCCGGACTATCTGTATTCCATAACGATTACATGCCTTACTTCTTATGCTGCAAATTTGCCGATTTCCGCTGTCAAATGTTCTACTGGCGACGGCCATCGTCAGCTTGTCAAGAATACCAACCTCCTGCTACAGGTCTTTTGATCACGTTTTAAATTTTGCAAAAACTAAAAATGATTTTCTTTCCAGGCCAAGTCTCCGGCACAGGTGTATTCAACACCATCGACAATGACAAGTTCATTTTTAACGAGCCAGGGGTGTTCAACTTCCTTTACGTTCCGAAAACTGTACGTACACCAGAAGTGCGCGTACAAATTCGTATGGAACGATACCCAAATAGAAAGGTTACGTCATTCCACAGTTTTCCTGCCTGATTATTGATATTTTTTACTTCAGGTTGACTTTGGCTTACTAGGGCGTTATATTGCACAGTCAGAACTTGTACAACCTACAAATGCGACGGTAGTCACAGGTAAGATTTCATGCTGAAATAAGCAGTTACCATGCAAAAAGACTGGATGTTGTGGTAGGTTGCACACCTAGCGCTGTGATTGGTTGAACGCTGTGCACTGTGATTGGTTGAACAGTGAGCGCTGTGACTGGTTGAATACTCAGCGCTGTAAGCGTTGTGAGTGGTTGATGAGTGCTTTGATTGGTCGAACACTGAGCCCTTGTTTGGGTGACGAAGTTTCTAGGCTGCACCGTTGAACTCTACTGTAATAAGCATTATTTGTACAAATAAGGCAATCAATAAATCGATACGTTACGAAGGAAACTTAACACCTGTTCAAGAATGCAAATTAACCTCATACTATAAAGTAATATGCTAAACCATACAGAATTAGAGATTTTGAGCTGACTAATAGCCAATCATAGCTCGCTCTACCCGTTTGTAAAACGAGTGGCCAATCACAGCAACTAGCTCCACCCTCTTCGAAGTAAAAGCGGTCAATCACAGCTGCTCGCTTCCCCTCTTTAGAATGAAAGCGCCCCAACAAGGGTTAAACACAATAAAATTTCTGTATATGAATTGTTCAGGAGTCGTCATCGAAGCTACCGGAAGCGACCGTGTTTACGTACTGGCTAGAAAGGACACTAGACGATTCCGCTACCGTACCGACGTTATTGTCGGGAATATTCTGCGGTATTTTGATACGATCAGATTGCAAAGATTCGACGGTACGGTAGAAATTCTTTCCTCCATTCAGTATGTGGTGGAATTTTATGTTATAGGAGTGCTCGTATACGTGAACAACGTTGAAAGGGGTCAGCCCGAAATCTACGTGGTAATGGAAGAGGCACAAATTGGTATTCGGGTCCGGGAGAGTTATGCTTTGGATATTGATCGATTACCCATGTACCAAGAAAGTATGGGTATGCTGGATATCCAGTTGTCAGTGCCTCCACAATATGGAGTGGTAAGTTAAATTTCTCATCTCTTTTTCCCAGAAAAATTGCCCATTCCAGCGCCCCGATGGGGACAAAAGTCGCGAGACTGAGGAACGTCAGCGCTACAACCTTCCCCGAATCAGCGGTCTCATGAGACCGTTCCCGGAACAGACAAATGCTGCCATATTCTCTGGACTTACCCTCAACGATGTCAATTCGGAAGCAATCCGACAGCAGATAATCAATAATTGTGAGAAAAAAACCAAACCCATGAAAAGCAACATTTTCAATATATTTTTCAGACAGAATAGTAGGATCTGGTGAATCAGGAACAGAACAACAACCCGCAGGCACACTAGCTCAAGGCCTACCCTCTGAAAATATGTTCACGACCAGCAAGGACGAAGACAAACAGTATGATGTGTTCCCTGAGGCAAATCTACGCGCTGGACCCATCTACAAAATGGCACCACAATATGAATCGTAAGTAATTTTGTGCCGAAATTAACAGCCTATTTTGTGATGAAAAAAAGTGGGAGGACTTCGAAAGAAGAGAGCAATGGAAAAAGAGAGGAGGGAAAGATGAGAATGATGAGAGAAGGAAGGAGGAGAAAGAGGAAGGAAGGGTGTGCAAGACCCACTTACAGTAATCGCTTATCTCATACTGTGGGAAAGGAGCAAGAACGGAATGTGGGAGGAGGGCCTAGGGAAGGGAAGGAGGACGAGAGAGGGATTAACACAAGGGAGGGGGGCCGCAGAAAGCATTCCTACCGTAGTCCATAAACGCATGCCCCTTTTCTCAATTTGAAAAATGTTTTCGCTCCCTTTGGAAAGTTTAGTATGCGAAGCCTACGTGGTGTTATTACCCACATTATCAAAACCTAGCTTCAGCATCAGAACCAGAAATTATGAACTCGAAGTTCTAGCCCAAAGAGCCCAAAAATTCTATTTTTCATCTTTAGACTCATCTGATAAATTTACAGAGGCCGATACCGATATCGGCCACAGACTGGAATGGATATCAGTCAAGCGCTCAGCAACTGCCGTGGTCTGCAAGAAGATCCCACATGTATGTAACTTTGAGAATCAAATTTCACCACAAATGCACAGCGGTTACTCAAATCAGAGCTGAAACCGCAACGCGTACGCTCGCGCCGCGTTGCGACCGCATCACAGTCCAAATTAACCCCACAATTATAAAACATTTTTCAGTGAGTCTGCAACCATATCAAAGTCAAGCAAATCTTATATATGGTATGTCTCGATGTCCTGATGATGCTGCTTCGATCATTAATGATTGTGGTGATAGTGTTAGTTTATGGATTTCCCATCCAACACTTTCTCAACTTTTGAATTTAGGTTCCATGTTTGTATAGTTACGCTTTACTACAATCCAAAGTATTGGCATTCGAGGAGCAAGACACCTGGAACAGTTTTGTCACAGAACGAGTCGAAGCTACACGAAAGTGTGAGTTACTTTTTCTGCGGAGTCGCCTGCGTACACAAAACTCTCAGGGACCCGTCATACTTCGCCGAAAAAAGCCCAGAAGCGCCCATAAGAGCCAGAAAAAGCCCAAAATAGCCCGAAAAAGCCCAAAAGCGCCAGAAAGAGCCGGAACGCACCCTTGCGTTTTGACGCTTAAACATGTGTGTTAATTTCGCAACCGAAACTTTCTGCTTCATTTTCTGTCGTCTGCACATCAAAATACGTCAGAATTCTACCATAAGTTCGTTTCTGCGTTCCGGCTCTTTCGGGCTTTTTCGGGTTTTTTTGGGCGCTTTTGAGCTTTTTCGGCGAAGTATGACGGGTCCCTCAGGCAAAATCAATAATCAGCATTTCGCTTAATTAGTATCGTAGCTATATTCCCACCTAAAGAACAACATACATGGATATAAAAAGTGTACATAAGTGCAAAAATGTGCAGCACAAAGCCTCAAAGTGGGCGTGGCAAGGGGCGGGGCTTGCCAATCCAGGCTGATTTTTATAATGAATTTTTTAGACAATAGCTGTGGTGCGATCAACATCGAGTACCCAGAATATATGATGAAAACCCCGGCATTGTCATCTGGCTATCTGCAAGGAGATGTGGCACGATTTGGTTGTTATCAAAGTCACTGGATCAAGGGAGATGCTGAATATAAGTGTAAGATCTTTCAAAATTTTCTGAAAATGTAAAAAAATAGTTCTTCAGGCGGAATTGTTGTGGATTATAATAATCCAAACAACTATCGTTTTGAATGGAATAAAGGCTCACAACCATGGTGCCGCTCGCGAGTCAAAGAAAATTACTTCAAATGGATTACTGTAATATTCAGTACTGTAGCTATAATTCTTGTAAGTTGAATTTTTTTTACAATGTCTTCCCCTAAAAGGATGTGAAAAAATTTCGAATTTTTAGGCTATAATGTCGGTATTCCTCGGATGTTGGTGTGTGAAACAGAAGAGGATACAAGAACAACGACAATATAATTATTCTGACAATGCCGTGAGTGCTTTTGACAACTAACACAATCTTCAAAAATTGTTTCCGAATTCTTTTAATTGAAAATCTCCTTTCTAGGCTTACACGAATAAAGGCCGAGTGGCCTCGATGGGCTCCCTAGACGACGGACCTCAGCTCACTCAACGATTCCCAGCAAGGACTACTCCTGCCACTTTGGAGCCGGCAAGGTCCCGTCACAATTCAATTTTCTTACTAAAATGTGAACTACTTTCTTGTGTGAAAATCATATTTCAGGCTAACCCCGGCTTCGTCAAGGCCGCAATCACGGAATCTCTTTGGCTTCAACACCAGTGTCTAGCTCAACAACTCGATTCTCTTTCTTTCATTACAAACTATCTCTGAGATTTTGCAGTGTGCCTGGTTTCGCTTCAAAAAAGGGCTTAGGACCCTATATTCGCCTCGATTGAGTTATTCTCCTAGAGTTTACTGCCAATAGAGAACCTTGACCACAACTACTTACCCTCTTGGCAAAGTGTCGTAGCATCTCGAAAAGATAAATCGAATCTATTCGGCCTTGAACTAGTCTTTCACTTTCTCGCATGTTTGACGTTTGTTTTGCAGTGATGTTGTACGTTATATGAACGAATGAATGATATAAAATACGAAATGACCCATCTCTGACGTCGATATATAGGTCAGAAATGCATAACATTGAGATCGTCATGAAGAACGATGAAAAACATTGGCAGGAAGATAAGGATGTAAACATTTTCGCCTCAGGAGACTGGCATAGAATGACGCCTAAGAGAACCTTCAACTTAATCCAAAATTGGAAATTTATATGACATAGTTATGGTAGATAAGGGCTAAAGGAAATAAAGAAAACTACTCAGATTTTTTGTGTATTATTCAACCTGTTTATTTACCGATATATGGATTGGACGAAGTATGTGGGTTTTGCAATACAAGAGTTAACTTTTCGATAAACCTATGGTTTTCATTGCTGCATCAACAAGCTTAATTTTCTTCGCAAACTGCATTGGCAAATTGAGAGTCCAATACTGGGAAAATATTATCAGCAAGTAGTTGTCTACAAGTATTAGGTTTTTCCATAAGTCTTTTCATTTTTGAGTTTACGCTTTGATAAATCATACACTTCTTATTTTAGGTGGTCATGGTCACCAGGATACCATTCGAAGGAGCAAAGCAAGCTCTATAAGATGGCGTTTATGTTTTTGCACCAGCTTCGATCCACCTAAAGTTTAAAACGAAAATCTAAAAGGTTCCGAACCAGAAAATTGAAAAATTTCTATATTATCGTTCAAGAAAGTCCCACGGATCTTTCACTCGCTCACGTATATACAGTCCACACCAGACAGACATATGTGCTGTTGCTTATTTTTCATTAGCTAGAAATTGAGAAAACGAAAAACTTCACGTTTTTACCAAAGTGATGCTGTGCTGTTCTTGCACTAACAGTTTATACCACAAATCATTAGAACAACCGTATATTTTTAGCTCCCTATAAACTCTGCTTTCTGAAAAATGCTGAGTTAAGCTGGAAACCCCGAGTCAGAAAAGCTAGATTCGATATTTCTCTGGAATTAGAAATTAAAGAGAGCTAGAAATCCACGGTTCTACTTCTAATGGCTTGTAAGGTACGACTGTTGGTGTAAGAACAGCACAGCATCTTTTTGTTAAAAACGAGAAAATTTTCGTTTTCTTGGTTTCTAGCTAATGAAAAGATACAGCAACAGCACCTGTGAGTGTCTGATGTGGAGTGTATGTGCTTGATCAAGGGAGAGATCTGTAGGACTTTCTTGAACGAAAATATAAAAAATTTACATTTTTCTGGGTGTCCGAAATTTTCTCGATTTTCGTTTTGAACGTGAAGTGGATCGAAGCTGGTGCAAAAACATAAACGCCATCTCAAAGAGCTTGCTTTGCTCTTTCGAATGATATCCTGAGTACGAGTTATCACATCGAAAACTCAATAATGAAAAGACGTATGCGACAACCTAATAGTCCCGCAGCTGTACAAATGTGATTATTACCAAATTTGACGCTAGTAAAGCTGTAGGGTTGCTCACAAGCAGTATAACCAGAGGGGATCAAACTAAGAAAATGTATTACTGATCGAATTCTCAGGCAAAAATGAAAGTTACTAGCTCGTCATTTTTTGTTGTTTGCAAATTGGAACAGTGGTTCGAAAAAGTATGGGACAAGGGGACTGTAATTTGCACTCGTCAGAAGATGGGAGACTACAGCAATATAGTCAGATTTTCTGCTTGTTTTCCGCTAGATTTTGAATAAGATGATTTCGAGCACAATCACCCAGTGGCACTGAACTTTAGACCTTTGTCCTTGAACGATCATAATCTTACCGACGACAAAACAACGGTTGATTTGCACAGCTTCACGGTCTCCGTGAACTGCCTCGTGTATCACTCTCGAAATGATAAAGCAGGAGTGTGGTCTCAAACTGATCAAACGACGTCACATTTCCGTACCCAGAAATAGATGCACGACAAATGCTTCAAAAGGCCCGCGCCAGGTGATACTAACGTTCGTAACTATGCTGCGATCCGTGCTCTACATCTTTTTCATTATTGCCTCATTTCTGGCAGTTTCAAGTAAGAAATTAAGTCGAAAACACAAAAGCCATTCGCGGGAACTCACGCATAAAATAACTCAATTTTGGAAAATTAGCTGCTGTATTTGAACTAGATAGTGCGGCAAGTGATAGTAGAGGATTTTACCGAAAAGAATTCTAAAGTTCTACACCTGAAAAAGAGTATATTTTGCATCCACTGCGTTACGGTAGAAAGCGGTCTCAACGATATTTCATATGGTATCAGCACGAAAAACATTTCCGCAAAAATAAAATCGTTTATTTTAGTAGATGCAGCTAGTTTGAAATCGATGATGGCATCACAACAAACGGCAAATCTCAGTTTAAGGGATAAAAATTTACTCACCTATGTAGGCAATGTACCTGACAATATTCGCGACTTGGTGAGTTTTAGTTCAATTTCGTTCTGAGCAACAAAAATAATTGCTTACAGATGATTCGCTTGAAATTACGTCGATGATCTTTATTTGATTTTGTTATATTAATGTATGAAGCGGATCGTATGCAATTTTATGGACAACAATAAAACTTTCATAACAACTCAAACTTTTATAACAATCATATAAATAAAATTATCCTAACAACAAGTAACAGTATGAAACCCCTAGCAATATCGCTAATCTTCCAACCGAGCCCACTCTTCCACTTGCCTTTGAATGGATTTGAAAATGGCCAATTTGTCCTCAAAAAACAGGATCGTGTAAAGTTGTTGCCTTTTGAGTTGCCACGAAAGTTCTGTCGCACCATTTTTGGAAGTTCATTTTTTTTTCATTCTAATCCAAATTGCTTGCTTTAAATTACGTTCAACAAGTAAATCATGCTCTCCGTAACAGTTTCTTATCGGCTTCTTATTGAGCATACATTGCATAGATAGAAAGGATAGAAAAAATTTACTCAATTTTTATTTTTCTGGTTTGGCCTTAGAAAATCTGAAGCTTTCAACAAAAATCAGAGCAGTTGGGATTATTGGTTATATCACCTGTTCTTTCTAAGCCTACTGAGCTTTTCTATGAAAAGTTATGATCTCTAAGCAAGCGGTACAAAACAGCTGATGTTTGTTTCGGCATTTTTTTTTTTGGAAATCGTATTTTTTTATAGAGATGTTCAAGCAAGTTTTGAACCTATAACCAACTCTCCGATTTCTATTGCAAGTTTAAGATTTTTTACGATCTGACGCAAAAAATAAATGTTACAGTAATTTTCTTCAAGCGCTTCTATCTATGTAATATAGGCTCAAAAGAAAGCTGAAAAGTATCTTTCTCAGAAGCAGATTTACCCTTTCAAACGAATGTGAAAGCAAGCAAATCTGTTGGAAAACTCAAAAATTATGAGTTTTTGAAAATGGTGCAACAGAACCTTCGTGCCAACCTGAAATATTTAGTAGAAGGTTTAATGCGATACATACTGTGTAATGATTGTGAATATATCATGCTGTACATCTTTAGTGCATATCAGATACTGCATTATGAAACGGAGATATACTTTGTTTATAACTCGGGTGAAATATTAACTATCAGTAATATCGAGAAATCTTGGTAGCGAGCTTTTTGAGCCAATTTTGAAAGAATGTACATATGCGATTCAATCAAATCAATAAAATTCAATGCTGATCATGCCAGCATGATTGTGTTTCTCATAGCCTATTCGAGCATATATAAGGTTGATTCATGATTAATGCACGTTTCCTATAATTCTTTTTTTGAATGGATATTCCTGGACGCAATAAAAACCACTGTAACCATCAAATCATTGCCTATACAACAGACACTTTTGCATAATTGTATCTCTCATAAGAAAGATTTTCTGGCCTGAAAATTGCCAACATCTTTTTTCGGAAGCCTCTAATTTGAGAAAGCATAACTTATGTTGAAATGAAGTAGGATAAAGCAGACTTCGCTCCTCGTGTAGCCAAGGGTCTCTTGAGCATTAGTGCCAAGCTCGGATATTACAGAAAATTTTTGAAAGAAAATATTGCGGAAAAGTCGAAAGTACTCACTTTTTTCTGGCATCTCGGAGGGTTTGAAAATCGGTCTTTTTTGAAATTATTTCATTTTTTTCGCTGAAAAGTGAGAAAACCCTAGCGCTTTTCTACCATCAAATGGACTAGGTCTACCCTTGCTGGATAGTGCAAAAGACCTGCAATCGCCTTTTGATTTAAAGTTTTATATGGCACGGAAGGGCCGCGACGCTCATTTAAGTTCGCAATCGAATTTCTTGGCTCAGTATTCATGGAAAGTTTTGTTCAAATAACATCTTGTAACAGAAGGTTTCCTAATCCTTATGCATGTTTTTTGAAATCAATCCAGCTATTCCTCATATGGTTAGGGCAAAAAGAGTGAAAAGCAAAAATTTCGGGACATAGTCTCTCTTATTCAAAGGCTTGGAACTTTGAAATGAACGGAGATGTACGAAAGCGAAGGAGTACATAAAAAACTAGAAAGCTCTTTCAGATAGCATATGAAGTTTTTGAGGAAATTGATTACACATCAGATACCAACTCTTGGAATAAGAGGTGCGAAAAACGTGCATTAATATGAATCAACCTAATAGAAAAATAGTCGCTTCATTTTGTATCATCGCTCCCTTTCAATTCTATTTTCTGCGAATTTTACAGATCGATTTGAGTTTTGTAATATCTCCTTCAAATGGTATGCTGACATATATAATACATACCAAATACTTCTTTGTTCTATATAAACGAAGTAAAAAGGTTCGAAAGCCTTGAAAAAAAACCCACTTCTTCCGATACTCGACTACAGAGATCTTGAGGAACGCCATCTTCATAATACGCGCCAGCTATTTGGTCATCTCGTAATGTAGTATGCAGGACTAAAAGCGCGCTGAACGTCGGGCTCCTGAAACGATAAGTAATGTCGGTAAAAACATGGAAAAATAGGTAACAGTCTAAGCTACCTCAAAAACACCGGCAGTACGAAGTAGGTAACAAATCTGACAAATTTGTTGCAGTGGCGATATAGAGTACCTGGTATAACGCCTGGATGCACGCTAACTGCATGGTAGGGTCTGGAAACAACTAAAACTTCTCGTAAACTTTTTCATTAATTCAATGATATTTACTTTTGCCGGGAAAGCTCCGCGATATAGACTGAGAGAATTAGCTTAGAAAAGCAGTACGCCTCGTAAGGTCCAATGTAATAACCAAGGGGATCTGCAAATTGCAAGAACTCTCATTCTGGATAGAAAAAACTAACGGACATAAATGCGCGGGTGTAACTAAAGTCTGCATACCTTGCTGCAACAAGGAACTTGAAAAGAAAGCAACTCTCGCTGTAGAAGAGCTCAGAGCAGCGATCCTGGTTTTAGAAGTCATGATGGGATCAAGACTGTGAAGAAGAAGCACTTGAGACAGGACATTCACTCTCATGTGTGTCTCAATGTTGTCAACAATCTGTGAAAGAAAACCTAACTTCATCGATGTTTCGACGAACAGCAGGATGAGGATTACAAAAATTACCTTTGGACGAGCCAACATTGTTCCAGCGCATAAGATAACCACGTCAAGCTCCACACATCTCAGAACAAAGCCGCGGGTAAATTTTGAAACCTGAATCCGTGAAAACAGGAACAATAAAAATAAAGTTTCGCCGGTGACGTCAGGAGAAAGCTCTCTATGAGCAAGCTAACCTCACGTGGCTCCTCAAAATCCACCTCGTAAAGTGTAAGAGGTGACTTTGAAGCAATTGCGGATGCGAAGAGCTCTTTAGCCTTCTTCCGATCGCCGACCATAGCATGAACAGTGCACCCGTAACGCAATAATCTTCTCACTACCTGTGAAGGAACAAAGGAAAATTTTCACACATCTAAAAGTGAATAGAAAAAACTGTAGATATCAGGGTCAAAAGAAATTACACGCAAATAGAAAAAACTGGGGACAGCCGTCTCCACGTTGGCACCCTCATAAGCGAACATTATCAAACTCAGAAGTGCCCCCACAGCAACTGTACCGCGTCGCAAATGATCTGCGTCGGATGTCAAGCAAGCACAAGTGCGGCAAAGATTGTATATATCAAAATCAAGAGAAAATTCCGGATTTGCAGAAACAAAAAGTGGGAACAGCCGATGCCATACTGGTACACCGTTGAAGGTTTTAAAAATTGAACATTACAGAAAATCAAGGTTTTACTCACTGACAGAAGAAGTGTACAGAGTGTTGTAACAGTGCACTCGCCATCGAAATGAGGGTAAGTCAGCCAGGAAAAGGGTTATGAACGAAGAAAAGGCTTAAACAGATGAACTTAATTTACAAGACTCACTTCCCTTCCTATCGTGCCATCAGCTCCAGTGACAAGCACAGTTTTATTGCTTGCGGAATGAAGAGCTCGACATTTCTGTAGGTCATTCTCAAGCACTTTATCGGTCCCTTGCTTCGTAGCCTGGAATACGTCTTTCAAATCAGAATGGAGCGATGAAAATCTTACCTCGAATACTAACTCTTTCACAATAAACAGTGCGGCTAATACATAGACCTGCAGCATCACAATCAGTTCTATCCAGGCCGCTGGCAACAATGCCATGTATCGAAGCAGCAAAGCAAACATATTTCTGAAGATGGCTAGTACAATCGGCGATTGATACCACGCAAGCACTGGGAACCGTTGCGTCCGACCAAGGCAGCTCGTGCGCGAGAGAGACAGCAGATGGTGAGAGGAACGAAAGAGCACATGATCAAAGAGACGCCGATAAGTCCGCAATCTTTGCGTGCAATGAATCGCCTATAAATTAGAAGGTACTGAAAAAAAAAGGAGAAATGGCGGAAAGCAGAAGCGTCCGACTGTCAATCATGCAAACCGAGACTGAGCGATTGACTCTATCAGCTGCACGGCCAGTGTTCCTCAGATGGGATCGCTCTGCCACTGGTTATGATAAGGTAACTCCAAGTCTTCGAAAAGGTAAAGACCTGTCCGGTATATCAAAAAGGTCTACGATTGCTGCGTAATACTCAGAAATCTGCTTGTGCGTTTTTGGAAGCAGTGTTGGAACTAATGTAGTAGAGGAAGGCACGTTCTTTCTCTACTACATTTCGGAATTCGTGGAGTGGGCATAATTGCGCGTAAAATCGCCCCGGATTTGGATCGAAGGCCTCGGACATACCTCACGCGATTTCAGTCAAGAAGCGATTTGGCAATACTCCAAATGTTCGTAGCTCATCGTACGGGGTTTCCGAATGTACGGAAGATGGGGCATTTTATCAACCTACGAAAGTTATACATGCTATGCATTTGGGGTCTACCAGTATTGTATTTGAGAACATCTGGCAAACTGCCAGATCGCGTGGCGACTGAAATCGCGTGAGGTATGTCCCTTGCCGAAGACGGCCCCAGATAATAGCGAGGCGGGCAAGCCTGTCGTCTCCAGTCGCAACAGCATTCGCGACAGAGAACATTCTCATCTAATGTTTTGGGTGCATTTTAGCGCTTGTACATATCTATTTGTACTAACTAATTCGAACGCAGCTGTGTGGGCACCTTCCTATGGGCACCTGCCAGACCTAAAAAGCCCAAAAGCCCCAAGAGCGCCCAAAGTGGCTCAAATTTGTTTGATCCCCCTCCTCACATTTCTCCCATCTCTCCTCGCACACATTCCCTGCTCGTCAAAAAGCGCCAACACGCTAGCGCGGAACATGTGAGAAGAGACAGGAAACGTAAAGATAGATTTGTAAAGTTTGAACGCTTTTGAGCGCTTTTGGGCACTTTTTCAGCAAAGTTTGAAGAGCCTAGGACTTTCAAGAAACTGTTTCAGGGCAAAGTAACATGCGGGTACACAAAAGAAACCATAGTTGCCTTGCACCCTAGTGTCTGCACAATCTGCTCGTTATAGGGTGGTAACTGCATCCTTCTGTTGTCGAAAATGCAAAGAATAACAAAGTGTACGCAGTTCAATCGAATCTAACGAGAGAAATTTTACCAAGAGTTCGCTTATTCCCAAATTTCTTGCAGGCTGTTGCATGCATGCATGCCGTGGGCGCTGAAGTGCGTAAGTTCGAGCATAGTGTACGCAATTTTCTACATCCCGCATGTTATACAGTAACGCAAATTTAAAATGCTTCGGTATTTTCAGTTTCCAAGAGAGAATTATCAATGTTAGTTGATATCATGATGCCTGTACAACTCAGGGCATTGCATAGTTTCTCAGAACTTACTTACTGGATATGATTAGGTAATTGTTGTTTAATCTGTGACCGTCTCGTACCTATGGCCATCTACAGATTGCTACATTATGGAGATGGGTTGCAGGTTTAGGTAAACGCATGGCACTCATCAGTGGAGCTCTGCGACCGTTGGATGCCGGAAAATTCGTCGTTGAGCATGGAAGACTGATCAAAATCAATGAAGATGGTGTGCAGCGTGTGGCCAAAATGGTGTCTATTCAATTAGTTTGCTCGCACTCTTCATTGACACTTTCAAAACTTTTCTCTGATTAGAGTGGCTCTGTTGTTTATTTAGAATTTACCCTTTTTGCATGCATCTGCACTTACCAACGTTTAAGATCTACGATGCTGCAAAAGATGGCACAATTGCAGAAGTGCAATTTTCTGCGCATGCTGTGCATCCATCGGGCAAGGGTAAGGCAGTTGTTGACTGGTAAGTTATGCAGCTGCCTTATTTCGTTTGAATCTGTTCCTTCCTTTCTGATAGTGATCGTTTGTTTGGCTTTGTTTTTCCCGCATGCTCTGCTTATGTTCCTTTCTTTCTCATATTCAAATAGCAAAAAAGGATGAGTGGCCGTTACTCGAGATCCTACACAATGAGATTGAGAATAGAGCTATTGCCATTGAAATGATTTCTGAACTTCGATTTTTATTCATTTTTTCCAGGGTTTTCCTGACCGACACCATCAACTTCTCATTCTGGCCAGACAAGGGAGATAAGTACGATGTGACGTACAAGGGAACGAAATATACTGGTTACTTTGCGGGTTGTGCTGCAGTCAATAAGGTTGGGTTCTTTACTCAAGCGGACTTTGACCACTGATTGAAATTTTATGTTCAGGCACTTGACGCAGGAGTGAAACTAACGGATGCAGAATGGATGTCGAAAGTTACTAGGGAACAGTTAGATGACATATTCAAGTCTGATGGCGGTACGTTTGGTTCTGTTCTGTTCATCTCAGATTCATGCTTTCATCCTGTGACATGTACGCATTTAAGGATACTCTATTCCCTTACTTGATGAACGCCTCAAAGCTATCAATGACGCGGGGAAAGTCTTACTTGAGGTGAGTTCTATCCTCATCCCATTAATACGTCATCAGTATGGAAAATTTTTTGGTTTAGAAATGGAACGGATCCTTCTATAATTGTATTCTTGCGGCTAATAGGAGTGCTGAAAAGCTTCTGAACATTATTATCGAGAACTTTGAGTCGTACAGAGATTTTGCGGAGTTTCAAGGACGGAAAAGTCGGATTATTTGATCTTTAGTAACGCTAGAAGTCGTTAACCTTTTATTTTAGTTGCGTTCCTGAAAAGAGCACAAATCCTCATAGCAGATATCTATGAAGCGCTCAAGGATAATGATCCTGCTTGTAACTTTACGGATATTGGGTAAGTTGGATCTGCTAGCGTTTTGACCACTAGCTTTTATATCTTAGAGCCTTAACGATTTTCGCTGATTATCGGGTGCCGCAGGCTTTGGCTTACTTGGGAGTTCTGGAATACTCAAATGAACTTCTGGAAATTCTATCAAAAAAGCAGCATTTGAAAAGTGGAAGCCCAGAAGAAGTTGAGCTGAGAGGCGCAACGATTTGGGGATGCGAGGTTGAGTTTCTCCATTAATCAGTCAGCATGGCTTCTATCACCTGCATTTACATTTACAGAAAATCGTTTCGGCTATAGAAAAATTGCGTGCAGCAGAGGGTGGTGTCGTTCAACCCATCTATGCTATCGATGTCGATGTATATGTATGGGTTTATCGTCGCAAGCATGCTGCCGAAATCGAGGGCAAGGTGTGCTCTTTTCATTTTGAATCTTTCTCGTCTTAATTATCTTCTACAGGTGCCCTTCCATCGTACTCGTTGCATCTACTACTAGGTTGACGTTACCATATCATAGCTCACTTTCTTGTAGTTCAGTCAGAATAGGTAAACTTGTTGTTAATGCATGATGTTCATATCTGCAATTTCCTGTGTTCTTGTTGATTTTGTGCTTAAGCTTGTTATTCTGTCAACTAATAAAGAACTACTTCTGCATGTGTTGCTTTTAGTGTTTGAAAGTTTTTGGACGATTACCTTTACATCTTTTCGCTGCATTGTATAGATGTCCAGTTTAGAATGTTCAAAAAATTTGACGAGAAAGAAGATGTGACTGGAGCCACTCAGTTGAAATCGTCTGTGCAGGTTTCGTGAATTTTGCCTAACCGGTTTTATCACAGTCAGGCTTTCCCTTGTTTTAGAAAGGAATACGAAATAGAATTATTGAGCTCTATCCACATATCGAGCCATATCTCATCGACATATTGCCAAAGAAGGTAACACGAGCGTTATATTTTATTTGGTCTGACTGAAAATCACGTCACTAGGAAAACTTCAAACTGATCAAGTGCAAAGATCATGTGGAGCTGCTTGCTGATCACAATGGTGTAGTGCAATTTTTGAAAACCAGGAATACGGATTGGATACCTACGTTGCGATTACTGCACAAATATCCGTTCATGATGCCACATCAGCAGGTAAGATTTCGGAAAGCTGCTTTTTTTTCAGTTTTTGTTTATTTTGATCTTTTTCACCTGAGCAGGGCTTAATGAGTGGCTTGCTACTCACTTTGGGGTCACCTGTATACGGCTTTGTTGGGTAGTAACGTAGCGGCTGCGGTCATTGCTGATGCAATACGCCGCAAGACTTTAGATCAATTTGACAAACGACAGCACTCTTGAAATCACTTCAACTTCCTGGTGGAAAAAGAGAGTTTGAGAGAAAAAAGGAGATTAAAATCTTGTTAGTTGTTATCTTACTGTTTAAGCAATGGTCGCAGCGGGTACTGCTAATACGGTTTAGCAAAGCCTTGTAACACCCACAAGCAACAATTAATTGAGCAACCGCAGCAACCATCACTTGCGGGAGACCTAAATGGCTTGTTATGTGGTAAAGTAATAGCTGTAGACAGGGGTGCAGTCTGTGTCACCCATGTGCTAGCATTTTAGAACTACGCATTCGGAGCGCATGGGCATTGCAGACGCAAATTTGCCGCATCGATCTCCGTGAACGCAGTTAGGGGTCTGTCGTAGTTTTGTAGAGTCTTGTTTATGCAGTCGTAAACCTTCGTTGCAAACATGAGCGTTCAAGCGGTGAAAAAGTAAGGTGCTGGTGCTCTAACGCTCGTAAGAAAGAACCCGGTGGTGTTCAGGTGATATAAGATCTTCTTTTGCTTGAAGCTATGGACTTATTCTATTTTTCTCGATCGCTTCCGTTTAGACCATATCGCTATCAGTCAGTCAGATAGTATTTCAAATACTTTGATATGGTTCAGGTTGACAAAGGTGCTATCAAGTTCGTTTTGAATGGCTCATCGATAATGTGTCCAGGATTGACATCTCCAGGAGCTAAAATGACACCCGGCGTTCCTGCAGATGCTATAGTTGCTGTCATGGCTGAGGTATATTTTACACAGGTCATGTACCTATTTATGTTTCCTTTTTCAGGGCAAACAACATGCTTTAGCTATAGGGCAGATGAAAATGAGCTCTGAAGAAATCCAGTCAGTAAATAAAGGCATAGGTATCGAAAATGTACATTACCTTACTGACGGATTGTGGAGATTAGCTGAGAAACCGCTCAACTAACTTTGTTGTTGTTCCGGAATGTTCATTGTTGATATTTTCTACAAAATTTTCGACTTAAGCTCGATGCGAAGAGCCTTCGCAAGTGACATTGTTTTAACATTTGAGATCTTTTGTTTTATGCCGAGTGTCTTGCGTTTTTTTCATTTTTGAAAGTAAATTATTACATTTTTTTCACTTATTATCTTGTACAAACTGGCTGTACAGGCTTTAATCAGTAGATGATTGGAGTAAATTGTATTCTTTGAAGAGACCATGAGTTATTAGCTGAGGTAGTGTCTTTGAGCTAACATTCTTCATCTCAGAAAATTGTGCAATTGCACTAGCTGACTTGTGTTGTGGCAGCGACTATGTGTAGGATTAGTCATTGGGGAGTTTTTTGACCGATTTTTCTTGTCGTAGGAGCCTCAGTAACTCATATCCTGTACTGGCAAATCATCGATGGTCTTTCGTTTTCAAAATCGCATTTTGTTGGGAAATACTTTCAGCAGACTTTTTTAGACAGCACTCGTGAAGTTGTGGGTTTGTTCACCATTCCCTTCATTTGAGCATCAGATCTTTATGACTTTTGCTTCGGTTTAATTCGCTTTTAACACCAGCTGATGAGCCCACAAGTGAACTTATCTACAGGGATTCTGCAGATTTGCTCTCAGTTCAAGAAATCTAGTTGTGACGGCTCGATGGGTCTGAAGCACCCAAATTTAACCGATAGGCCATATGCTTGCCTACGCTCAACAACGCATTCTAGCCCCCTACTTATGTCTACCTACCGCTCTATAACAAATAATTACTAGAGCTTTATTGACGTACAAGAAACAGGTAATGTAATTTCCGGATGTGATAAAACCCAAACACGGGACGAGCTGACCGATCCCTATTTGCCAATGTTCCGTCTATTATATTAGGTTGAACCGAAAGCTCTGTCGCATTTTCAAAAAATCGTAACTTCTTCCTGTCACTATAGTTTCCCATTACAAGAATACTATTAGGAAGAGTAACTCGTGTATTTTCTAATGACACCTTGCTTTTTCTCTCCCGTGCTCTGATTGCATAGATAAAATGGTGAAACGGAGATTAGTTTATTTTCAGAATTTTGAGGCAAGCCGGTTAAAAATTCTAAAACTGTGCAATAAAATCCAAAAGAGCCAGTAACCCAGGTTTTTTGATGCCCTCTTTCTAGCTGAGCCAAATTCGCGCTGATAGAGCTATTCTCAAAAAAGTTATGATTTTTGAGAAAAAATGCCAAAAAATCGGCTTCTTAAGACAATTGATTTTTTGCAATTTTTTCTCGAAAATCATAACTTTTCAAAGAATAGCCGCGAAATTTGCTCACCTAGTAGAGGAGTCAAAAAATCTAGGATACTGGCTGTTTTGGATTTTATAGCGCAGTTTTGAATTTTTTAACGGGCTTGCCTCAAAATTCCAAACCTGAAGTGATTTCCTTTTCCATTTTCATCTGTGCAGCCAGAGCCTAAGGGAGAGCAGGCAAGATGTCATTGGGAAGTATATGAGTTACACGTCCTAGTTCTATTTTTGCCATGTAAGAGTATCGTGACAGGAAGAAGTCACGATTTTTTGAAAATGGTGCGAAAGAACTTTCGTCAACCTAATATCTTATACATGAAGCGTTCAAGCTTCACCTCAAAAAAGCGTTCCGAAAGAAGCCCGGTTTGAATCACAAACCACTGAGGATCCAACCGTTGTTCGCATCATCTTTCCGCACAAACTATCCAGTAAGGCAGGACCTTACCCCGCAAGGCATGATCCCAAATTGCGCCGCCGCTAACATAGCCGTTCGGCTGGCAGGGCCAGCGGAATGACGGTACTACACAAGTTATTGGCGGGTGGCGGTCAAGATGAACGATAGCATGTGCCAGCCGCCAGCTGGGTACTGTACGCGGTGCGCTGATCGCTCCGCCCCCTTATTAATTAGTCTAGGAATGCGTTGCGCTATTGGAAAACTCTCTAATACTTCGTACATGCTTATTTGGTTGCAATTTGAGTAACAGTAAATTCCAAAATTTCAATTAAATTGAAAATCAGTATTGGGATATACTGTGCGAGACTCTTGGGTATTTGTACCCGAGTTAAACTTACTTTTGGTGGTTCAGTGGATTCTTCGAGGTAAACAGACAGTTGAGAGGGCGAGCGTTTATTGGGGCGGTTATCGCCAATGAAGAGTAACAACTGAGGGGGGCCAAAGCCACCAAAACAACATGCGGGGCCGCGCCCCGCCCCCCGTGGGGAGACATCATCGTCACCGATGATACTCCGGGGAGCAGGGGGACCACAAAAATTAAACGATAGTGTGTCAAAACCACAGTATGCAAAATATGTAGTCTTCCATCGATTTCTTCGTAGAAAGTGGGGGACGTTGCGGCTCGATGGTGTGGCTGGTGGCATGATGATCGGCTGGTGGCTTGGTGGATGGCTGCGGCTTGACATGGATGGCGGAGGGCTTGACGTGGATGGCGGCTTGACGACGGCGGCTTGGCGTGGATGGGGGCGGCTTGGCGTGGATGGCGGAGGGCTTGGCGTGGATGGCGGAGGGCTTGACGTGGATGGCGGCTTGACGTGGACGGCGGCTTGGCGTGGACGGCGGCTTGGCGTGGATGGCGGCAGCGACTTCTCAGTTGTTCCGCGGCCTCTTCTGCCCGTGCGGTTGAGGCCTTCTGCGATTACACAGCAGCGAATTATGGCCGAGGCCACAACCGCTACAGGTAAAATCGCAATTGTCCTCATGCACGGGCTTGAGGCACTTCAAGCACAGTCCGAGATTGGTTGCTCGGACTGTGCGGGATACGGGGTCGGGGAAACGTGTACACCGCCCCGAGATGTGTTGATCGCGGTTCTCATCGAATGTGCAAAATGCACAATTCGACCTTGGCTGAGTGCGATCAAGCAGCATCTGGAGGGCTGCTTATGTATCGGTGGTTCCTTGGCTTTACTGTAGCCTGAGGCGAATAGCGCCTGTTGAAGTGTGTTATACAGAACACATAGCTAATAAGCTTTATGAACAGACGACGTGCACGTATGGGTGCAATGGTAGAATGCTAACTATAATAGGCGTGGCGATGTATGTTAATAAGCATCTGGTCAATAAACATACTCACATCACAGCAGGTCATGCTTATTGCATGACCTTTACGGTACTTTGACAGCAGATATCATACAACAAAGAAGGTGCCGATATTATCGGCACACTCCGGCCGGCCATGAGAACAAGCAATGTAGGAGGATGGATACAAATCAGAAATCTAGTATTATTCAACTGCTTTTATTTGTCTGGATCCAGTAGCGGGGTTTGATGAGTAGAACGAGTCACGTCGGCAGAGTGGATGATCAGAATTCTTGACCAGAGGCGACAGCGAAAGGCTGTAGACAGGGGAAGGCCAGCTTTGGAACCAGCTGTCGCAAAATCTGCTCGTGGCACCATAGGCGTCATGACCTGCCCCTGCAAAAGAGTATAAGCGGTGGGAAAGGACTTTTGCTTAACAGAGCATCGATCGTTGTCAGTTCTCGTTCTCTGTCCCAATCCAAAGGAGTCTTCTTTGGATATCATTTCCTGGATTCCATCCTTCTTTTCTTCCAACGCGAGAATTTGTGTTTCTTCGGGACTCTGCTGCTGTTTGACTTGGACGGAGTGCGAGTCACCGTTAAATGAATTCGCCTTTTGTATATCTTCTCTTAGCTGCCTCATACGCCTATTTGAATCTTCCATGCAACTCATGAGCTTTGGGCCCGAAAATCTCTTCAAGCTCCCTGTTTTCGCTAATTCTAACATATCATCTGCCATGCGGTCTTGCAAAAGATATAGAAACCTTCTAGCGTCAAAAATGGTTTCGAAAAATCTTATCTCTTCCTCCAACGCGTCCCATTCCTCCGCCATTGATTTCTTCACAGCTTCGGATTCAACCTCCTTACATCTTTCCATCAATATGTCGTAATCCATTTGCAGGGATTCAATGGCATCTTCAATTTCCATTTTGCACCCCGCTAGTGATTCCAGATGTTGAGCGCATACATCTTGGCGCTTTTGACTGCAATTTGGAATAGTAATTTTCTCACCGTGGCGTGCGTACTTCTCTAGTTGTTCCGCGAGCTCCTTGGTAGAGACTGTTATTTGTTGTCTGAGAAAGCGCGAGATCTTCATCGTTCCTCGAGTGCTGCCGTCGGAAGCGAAGCACTTTATCGGTCTTATTTGGCCGATGCACCAAATGTATCGGTGGTTCCTTGGCTTTACTGTAGCCTGAGGCGAATAGCGCCTGTTGAAGTGTGTTATACAGAACACATAGCTAATAAGCTTTATGAACAGACGACGTGCACGTATGGGTGCAATGGTAGAATGCTAACTATAATAGGCGTGGCGATGTATGTTAATAAGCATCTGGTCAATAAACATACTCACATCACAGCAGGTCATGCTTATTGCATGACCTTTACGGTACTTTGACAGCAGATATCATACAACAAAGAAGGTGCCGATATTATCGGCACAATCAGTTTTCAGTTTATTTTTCATTATAGATTAGTTCGCAAGCTCTTTTTAATGTATTTCAATTATTTGTTCCTAGTAGGCTTGTCCAAAATGATTTTTCATTGTAGGTATGAGAAAATTGTTTCTTCAAAGTTGGATATCCAGGAGTCACTCGGTCATCCATAGGTAAATCAGCAGATCTCTCGAATTTCACGACCAACACATCAGCTGTTCATTGATGCCAAAAAAAAAGAAACAAAAAATTAAAACAAGATTCTGTACATAGTCAAGCTTCACCCCAGATTGTAGCAAGCTTATATCTTACTATCAATAGTTGTTATTTTTACTTGACGGTATCGTTCGAGAAACTCGTCCGCCGCAGTAGGGCGGAGCTTCGAGCGAACACGTTATTGCCAGTTCATGACCCCGCGCGCCACTGGTACCAGCTATCGTTCATCTTGACATATACCCGTTATTGGCTTTGCAATGAAGTCCTAAAACTGCGCTATGTGTCGGGATGATGCCGCCAGAGACAACGCTTTGGCGCGACACGCATCTTGCAGGGATCTCGAGGGCGTCACATCCTGATGTCCGGACGTAGCTAGAGCGCATTATTTTCAACGTGCATCTCTACTCCCCCCCCATTGCTTTCTCAAGAG